ATTTAAACATAAAAACAACATTTTAATAACAGCTAAAGGTGACATAGATACTTTATTATGGTATAGTATTTAAATATATGCCTGAGAAACACATAATATTGCCCCTTTAATTCTCATGATGTTTAGTGTTTCCAGCTACCCTCAGTACTTCTATTGTCACTCTTYACCCCCCCAGATCTGCCCCACCCACGTATACCTGTTCCCAGGTGTCTCCACTCCTCTCATTCAGCCCCTGCTGTTTGCCTCCTTAAATTTCTCTTCACATTTATCTGGATTTGTGCTTGTTTAATCTCCACAATCAGACAGAATAGGATAAATTTATTTGAAATGAGTGTGAAAATTATCTATAAATGAATGCAGAGAAGAAGAAAAAAGCACATTGTAGCTTAAAMATCACTTTGCTGAATTTGGAATAACTTGTAATACATTAACAAGTAATGAAAGTTGGTTAAACATTTGTCAAAGCTGCATATTTTACAAAGTCAATACTTATTTAAGGACTAAAGCAAATTATACAATTTTACGATCCTAAYGTGTTTGATCTGATTATTTACCATAATAATGAGAGTATTTAACAATTTATGTAATCTAAACCCACGGCACCCAGAATGAGAGTGTACATGAAAGCATTATTATTCCTTACCTCGACAGTGTACTCCTTCATCGTACCCGTCTTCACAGTCTTTAGCCCCRTTGCAGAGTTTGTTGAAATGAATACATTTTTTTGTCCCAATGCATTGTATGTGATTAAGGGGACATCTGATTACCACCTCCTGCGAGCCTGAAACAGAAAAACAAGAGCGCATCAAAAATTAATACATTTTATTTTCTGCAAAAACAACATTAGCATATCTTTTCCTCAAAGAAATTGACAAAAAAACTCATAATAGGACGTTTCAAACAAAATGTCAATTGTGTTTTTTTTGCAAGCACCGTTTTTGTGTGTGTGTCTTCTAAAAGTGTTGCTACTTCAAGACCTCTTTTATATTAGAAATAATATATGCTTATGCAAATATATTTGTACATCACAGCATTGTTCTTTACACACAACAGATGTTCGCCACAGCGCTTTGCAGCCGCGTTGGTGGAATCCAAATAACAAACTACCCGACTCCCACTGCAGGCTGGGCAAACAGCGAGGAGCAGCTGTTTAAGGATTCATGAGACACATAGATAAGTGACCCTCATTCACGTGGCAGCCCCAAGGGCATATAAAACACAGCTGACCAGTACACTTGCACTGAAAATGTGTCACATTTCCACCTTAATTAGCCTGATATCACTTAGAAACGTGTCATCACGAGCACTTAATAAGAGGATTTATTACCCATGTGATAGGATTTGAAACTATCATTACAGTTCTTCCACCCATAAGAACTTAAATATTAGTACACTTGGATAATCATGACAATTGCTTATTTGCGACACCTACTTCTAAAGTAAGGGATGCCATGATTATTGCAGCTTTTACAAAGAAGGGGGTCAACCTTATAATAGATATTCTAATGAATACGTAGGAAAGAAGATGTATGTCTGAAAATACTCTATGACTTATACTAGACACGCTTTCAAGTTTTGCATTTGCTGCAAACAATAGCTTTTGTCTTCTAACACTTCCCAAACTATATTTATTTCATTTTCAAGTATGTAAAGGGGCAATATCATGTAAAATCAACTTTTTTGAGTTTTTATATCATGTTATAATGTTATACTCTCATAAAAAAATATGCCCAAAGCCTTGTTTTGACTCATTCATGCATGTTTGAGAAATCCTGCAGCGTTTTTAGGAAGCCATGCTGAGGAGCAAAACGACAGGTGGGGACCAGAAACGCCTTTTGGGACCAGAAACGCCCCTGGGACGTGTCTTTAAGCNAGCTGACCAGTACACTTGCACTGAAAATGTGTCACATTTCCACCTTAATTAGCCTGATATCACTTAGAAACGTGTCATCACGAGCACTTAATAAGCACTCATAATGCACTCATTCATGCATGTTTGAGAAATCCTGCAGCGTTTTTTAGGAAGCCATGCTGAGGAGCAAAACGACAGGTGGGGACCAGAAACGCCTTTTGGGACCAGAAACGCCCCTGGGGCGTGTCTTTAAGCTGCACTTCCTCATCACGGAGCACACCTCCCCACCCCCCACCCCACACACCCAGCCCATGACTCCTGCGGGCTGTCGGCAGTAACAGAGCAAACTGAAAGTGAAACTTAAAGACCATGTAAAGTAAAAATAAATGTGTGTTCTGAGGTTGTCACACTACAGAAATATGTGTTAATAATCACCCAGCCAAGTTTGACGGCCCTCCTGCACTGAAATGGGACAGGACAGAAGCAGAAGGTGGTTCTTAAAGAGACAGAGGTCAATTTCAAGGCATTTAAAAGTGGAAGTGATGAGAAGATAAGTTTATTTTCTATTTAAACATAAAAACAGCATTTTAATAACAACTAAAGGTGACATAGATACTTTATTATGGTATAGTATTTAAATGTATGCCTGAGAAACACACAATATCGCCCCTTTAAGCTTGACATTTTATAGCATATTTATATTCCTTATGTAAGAAAGCTGTTTGTACTAACTTAATACATTCAAAAACATCCAGAAATGTCACTCAAATTAGTTCATGTGTAAAAAAGAATAAAAACTAATCAAGTTATGAAATAAATATGAAAAAAGAAAAAATCAATAGCAAAAGCTTCATTCACACTCAACAGATATTGAACCTCTAAAAAGTAAGAAAAATCATAAAAAAGTACTTTTCGCAGATCGTCCGATCCCTTTGCCAAAGTGACCATTTGGCAAATGTCCTATTTAACACGCAGCTCTAAGGGGTTGTGACAAAGTGACAGTATTAGACACTTTTTTTTTGGTTTCTCACCACATGAGTTCTAATCTAATGTGATAAGGAGAGGGTTTATGCATGAATATTCAGTGGCACTGATCTGYTATGCAGGGGTATACAGATGGTCTTCTAACAGCTGAGGTGGACAGAATTCCTCAGTAATGTCAGCCACTACGGTACTACAAGGTATAGTTGCTCAAAGTCAAAAAGATAAGATAGTTTCTTTGTCCTTTATTTCCTCTCTCAAGGTGCTAATGACATTTAAACCATATTCTCTGCATGCAGCTTCTCTACTGAGTTCATAGGGGGTGGCTTTGGCCCAGTGGTAGAAAGATCCGCTTCAGATTAGAGAATAGAGGGTTCAATACCTCTATCCCCAGTCTTGCCATGTGCTGAAAGTTTTCAGGCAAGACATTAAAACCATTACTTCCCCGGTACGCTTATTAGATTATAAGCGAAAAGACGCAGAAAAAAAGCTGTATTTAAAGAGTCATAATGTTAGTGCTGTTTGTCGCTTAATATAGTAAAGCACTTTACAGAACCTAGAGAAGGTACAAAGATGCTCTGTATTGGTTTTGGCGTTTGTTACTATATAATAAAAAAACATATACATATATACACTCACCGGCCACTTTATTAGGTACACATGTCCAACTGCTCGTTAACACTTAA